TTTAAGATATTTTGATAAAATTTGATACACTGACGTGGTTCGGCACAAGGGCGAACGCTATTGAAAATAATTCGGATCGGATCCGTTTTTCCCACATAACATCTAATTTTGAATAGTCGTACGCTGTATTAAGCGAGATGTTGTAGGGTATTTCATAGTATATTCCACTATAATGTCTTAATTTGTTTGAGTATTTGAAAATAATTTTGAAGTATTGAAAATATTATTTGTTGGAGTAAACTTTGTGAATTGTTCTAAACATGGCCCGGCATGTGTGCAATAACATTACAGTCGGGCAAGACCGCCATTCACCACGTTATGTAACATAATTTTTTTTTTTTTATTATAGAACACACAAATTATATCTTCTTTTTATATAAAGGCAAATTTTTCAAGTCTGTATTTATGGTGAAGCGGACCCAAAACGCAACTTCATGTAGTGCAAGTTTAATCCTTATATAGGATAGGACCTAGAAATAGGGGTAGATGGTTCAAATCTTGTAAAGTTCACTTTTTTATGAAATTGCTATAATATTATGGGCCAATTTCTATGATTCTGAATCGATCTGTACAATAAAAAGTGGGACTATACTAAGCTCTTCTGCGTTTTACATGCGACCGTATTATTTTAATATACCCTGTACTGCAAGTGTTGTGTAGGGTGTAAAAATGATTTTGATTCCTATTCAAATGTAGAGAAACTGTTACGCGTGTCTCAATTGTCAGCTGAATTGCAGCCTTTTAATTTCTATTGTTTATTTACGAAGGCTTCCAAGTAAACCCTTTACGCAGATGCAATGCCTGTTATTAACGGATCACTAAAGCTATTTTGAAGAAGTAATTATAATAATAATTGCAATACGCTTTCTATATCCATTGCCGAAGGACTAGGGGTATCTTTATATTGCCAAAAAGTTTACAAAGCCCAAAAGGATTCATCAGAGATCACACAAAGTAGATATGTTCTTGATCAGCGCCAAATTTCAAATCGATTTAACCACGTCCTTCTGTCCGTCTGTGTAATGTCTGCCGTAAACATTGTCCTGACCGCAAAAATGAAGCTATCAACCCAAAAACCTCATAAAATATATAAGTTCTTAGCCATTTTAAAGTATGCAACGCACCTAAATATGTTCCTCTGTTCTTCTGTCCATCCGTCTGTCTGCGCAACTGCGTAGTACTTATGGTAGACATTCTCTCTAGCGAAAAGGAATATATCGCATATAAGTTTGCAAAAGAATTTGGAAGCGACCGAAACTGTTCACAGGACACGCCTACAACGCCCACACAACAATGCGACAAAAACTTTTATTTTGATAATAGAAAAAACTCAGCTGCGTCCACTCCATACCATAGAGCAGGAGAATTTAGTTCTTTTACTGTTTTTGTCATTTTTCGAAAAGCGGTGCTGGATATAAATGATTCGGTCGCAACCGAATATAATTTTCTTACTTGTTGATGTTTCGAATAGTCACGATGACGGTGAAAACGTGTCAACAAACATAAGAATGAATTGCAAAATTTCATAAACTAAACAATTCAGGGAATGGAATAAATAAACATAAATATTTGAAGCACATACAACAACAACAATTATAAAAACAACAAACAAACGACTATCGGTAAATGTGCGAATTTTTTATTTAATGTCATGAACGCGTTTGGATAGGCAAAACGATTGAATTAAATTCTATAAATGAGAAAATTCATTTGAATGCCTTTGCGATTTACCTTTGTAGTCATTGCCAGCAGATAATCGTATGATAAATTTTTCATACCGTTTGTGCAAAATGCTAGCAAATCTATATAATAGTTTTACTGGATCTTATAATAATTGTGATAAGCAGCTGTATTTATGGACAAAGGACAACCAGAGGGGAAGGGGAAGGGGAGGAGGAGGAAATCGTTCGCCAATGAGAATTACAGGAGAGACATATAACATTAATGGACACGTTAAAAATTACAAGAATCTAAAGATATTCGCTGCGAGAATCGTATGGCTCTTCTGAAATTTACAAGAAAATTTTGATCTATTTTAATCGGCGCGAACGTTCGCCTTGTACTCATTTTAATTTCAAAATTTGTTTTAACAAGAACTCTGGAATAAACATTTTTACTAATTGATCATACTAAGCATTTACAAAGCGATCGTAGAAAGCTCGTCTACATTTAAGATTTGAATCCGCGAAAACTGACTTGGTAGTCACGATTCTTACCTATTCAGACGAATGCACATTAAAAGAACTCAAAAGTGACTGAACTTGTAAATGTCGTTCTGTCGAAGCATTGCAAGATCTGTACGCCATTAGTCACGACAATCTAGGGGGAAGTGATAATTGAGTTGTAATACGAATCCATAAAATTATAAGAAAATAGAAAAAAAAACGTGACAAGATATGACTGCTTACAACTGAACGTTGTTATATAATATAAGAATACAACGTCTTTAAGTCAGTCAAACGCAATGCTTTGAATATGTTGACACTAGATTTAAAAAAACATTTTTTTTTTTTCTCATTGGATAAGAAAAGTTTATTAAGAGTCTGGCTTTCTGTTATTTTATTTCTCTCTATCCTTTAACATTTATCATATGTTTGCTAATTGATGCATTCTTCTTCGCTATGTATAAATTAGCGAACTATCTATCTAGCGATAGATATTTAGAATGTAGATTACTTGTGGTGCAAAGTGTATTAAGTTTGGGCGAACGACGATAGTATTCAGAAGGGCTTAAGGATCCGTGCGAATAGTTAAATAGGGAGTACCAAGTCTATGTGCGTGCGTCCATCCATAGACTCACTAAGACTATAGCCGCTTCCCTATCTCTTTTTCTTTCTTAACTTCTTCCTTAGCGTTACCTTATTGCACGAATAGGGAAAAAAAGGCCCACCTTTTGTCACACCTAAAATCTAAATTTTCGTGTGATGTGTGTCTTTTCTTTTTTGTGTTCAACCCACAGGTAGCAATTTTTGTCTTTGGTACGTTGACGTGCTATGACCTGACGTATGTTTTTGCAAATGGTTCGGATCGGTCCACTTTTCCGACAACTCTCCATATAACGCTTTATTTTGAAAAGCTGTTATATGTAAAACAGTTGCAATTTTCAAAATTTCTCGACAAAAATCGCTTAGTAATAGTGCTCTGTCTTTCTAAATTGTTGCGAAAGCTTTGGTTCGGACAGGCAAAAGAAAGGTATAATTTTCAATATTTCATGGTGAGACTTGGTTCATAATAAAACTGACAAGGGAGTCAGCAGGAGTCAACATAAAATTGTCAGGATTCTCAGGAAACGTAAGACCTTGTTTGCCAAAAAGGCTTTATCGTTAATGTTTTACGATGCAAATTTTCATATTATTACATAGACTTTAAAATCAAGTGGACCAAATTAGAACCACATGGATCTATTTCTTGGATCCCACTCCATAAAAAGGTTTAATATTTTATAGAGGAATTGATCCAGCAAAAAAATTAACGATACCGAATTTGGATCGCATAGGTCTAAATTTTAGACCTCATTTTATATAGGGATTATCAGGGAAATCATGCCCTTATGTGAGCTATATGTTTAGCTTCTAATTCTTCATTACAGAAACTGGAAAATAAGAAAAATTTTGAGAAATAAATTCAGATTGGTAAATTTGGATTATGGATCTCGTGTGAAGCCTTGGACATCCTCCTCTAAGCGAGCTTTCATGAAAGTATTTCCTTGCAGGACAATATTATGAAATTTTTGATATATCATTACCGAAACAAGTGAATAAATGTGCGAGGCAAAGTGACTTAGGGTATCCAATGATCGATCTTGTCCGATTACAATGTTTTTGCTAGTTTTGATTTTTGTTATAATAATTCTAAAAGAATTCCTCAAAAAAAAAAAAAAGGGAAAAATTTTTATTGCATTTTAGGAACATTTACAGCGTTCGCAATATTACGCCATGCATAAGTACTTAAGGCAATGATTTCACTTTCTATATATGTATATTACTGTATTGTATCTCTATAATTGGTTAACTGAGAATCATTCGCTTTTTGAAATTATATATAAGGCATAAGTGTACATGGGGCATTAGGATGCATCTGAACATAGATAATTTTAGGTAAATTTGCAATTTCAAAGCAAGTCTCTGAGTAAAGTTAATCTCAAAATGTCAAGTTAGATAGTCGTTGGTAGCGTGAAGCCTCAATTGCTCACTTCAATTTTTCAAACTCCGGTTGTTTATATTCAAGGTCCTTTAGTTAAATATCAAAGAGTAAAACCATAAAATTCTGCGTTTGGTATGGTTTTGGAAGGTAGTACCATTATTATCATCATTACCCAACAACAACAAACTGTAAGATTAAAGTCTTAAAGCACTAGCATTCAAAGGCTATCGACTCTATTAAAAACTCTACCGCACTTGAGATTTGAACTCATAATCATAGTCAAGATCCTTTGCTTTGGCCACTCAGACGTAAAGTAGTTTTTTTTTTTCTGCTTAATCGTTAACTTTTGCAAATAGAAATCAATGTATCGTAGATAATATTAATTGGCCACGTTCTTCGTTAGTTAATCTTATGGGATTATTTTTATAGCTAAGTCTAACGAGTATAGAAAGATATTTCCCAACTTATATGAATTGCTTAAAAATTATATAAGCGTAGTTAGAATGATTTAAAAACGCTTCTCAAGATACAGTTTTTAAAAATGCGTTCACTTCATTACCATAAAGTTATGAAAACATTACTCGCATATCAGGTCATACAAGTAGAGATTATACAAGATTCGTTTCAAGTCGACACCTCAATTGGACTATTTGTTTAGAAACTATAAACCACCGACAACTTATTTTTTGTTTGTTTTTTTTTTTTTTTTGTTCTTTTTAAGTTTGTGTTCATGCATATGAATGTTGTTGTTTCTCAGTGTGCGTTCGTTCTTCCCACATAAATGCTAACCACCCAACGAAACTAAGCAACGTCAGCCAGCCCCAACCAGTCAATCAGTTGTTGATTTTCAGTGGCAGTCTAAAGTTGTGGCAGTTGTAGAAGTTCGCATCGTTTTACGAAATTTATATTCAATTCGTTATTTATACGCATACGTGTGTTAGTATTTTCATTTTGGTTACTTTTTTTTATATTCTTTTTGTTATTGCAATAACAACAACAACAACAACAACAGTAACAAAAACAGTAAGTTCTATGAGATTTTTGCATTTTTCGTAATAGAAAGCCTTTTTAATGCATAAACTTTTTTTTGATACCACAATGCACGACACGCGTTTACCATAAAATAAAATATCTGCTGCGGGAATAGTGGAGGTCTTGGATTCAATTTTTAACTTTATTAAACAACGCTTCCATTATGGTTTTGACGAGTAAGTAAATTTCCAAGTGATGGATTCGTTTATTTTTATGAATTTTTCAAACAAAATTTAAAAGAAATCCCTACGAGAGTTAGCGACGCATTGACCTTGAAATCAACAAAATGAATTTCAATTTCGCAGTATTCGTCATTACTTTCGATAATTGTGAGCATGTCGATTTTAAGCCTTTATTAATACTTTAACAAAATTTAAAATCGATATCTTTTACCAATCGCAAGTTATTTTGAGTTATCCTTTTGCTCATTTCTGAAGCTCATTCGATAAATATTTAAAATTTGTTTGCAAAATTTTCATACAAAAATATTTATTTTTACACCTTAAATTTATATATACTTTACTGCATAATCATTCAATAATTTTTTTCGATTTTAAATCGGAAATTTCTTGCTTATTGTAACCCAATAATGAACTCAAAATTTCTTCTGTATGTTGAGCCAGTAATGGTGGGGCCGTTCGAGCGTCATTTTTCGCTTCACTAAATACCACTGGCGGACCGACAACTTTGATAGAGCCAGCTGTAGGATGAGGTAAACACTTTACTAAATCTATAGATTGAATATGCTGATCTTCGAAGAGTTCTTTTAGGCTATTAACAGGACCAACCGGAAATGAAGAGTTTGCAAATAAAGTCATCCAGTTTTGTGAGGTATCTTTAATGAATATTTGCTCTAGTTGTTGAACAAGTTCTTGGCGATTTTTGACTCGATCTTTATTAGTTTTAAATTTTATATTTTCTGCGATGTGTTCAATTTTAAGTAGATTACAAAGCTCTTTGAATTGTTGATCGCTGCCTGCACCCAGAGTAAGATATCCATTGGCCGTTTTAAAACTTTGATACGGTACGATACTTGAGTGAGCGGTACCCCAACGCTCCGCTTCAAGTCCCGCGTTCAGATAATTGCTCGCCGCATTAATTAACATCGAGACTTGAGTAGAAAGTAAATTAACGTCAATTTTTTGACCTTTTTTGGTACGTGCACGTTGTAACAGTGCAGCTAAGATAGCACCATGAGCGTAGAGTCCCGTAGCTACATCGGTGACTGCGACACCAACTTTGCTTGGTGGTCCATCGCGTTCCCCGGTAATGTGTAATAAACCGCCCATCGAAGCCGCTATAACATCATAGCCAGGTCGCTTGGCATACGGACCTAGCGATCCATAACCAGTTATAGAACAGTAAATTAATTGAGGATTTATTACCTTTAACTGATCGTAACCTAAATCCATTTCATTTAATTTACCGGGCACATAATTTTCCACCAGAACATCGCATTTTCTCACCAGATCGTAGATAATATTTTTACCTTTTTTCAAGTCAATGCAAGCGCTCTTTTTATTGCGATTAGATGCCAAAAAATATGTAGAATCGGCGGTTCCCTTAAGAAAAGGTGGTCCCCATTTACGTGATTCATCGCCTCCGGCATAAGGACGTTCAATTTTAATCACTTCTGCTCCCATATCGGCCAGAATCATTGTACAATAAGGTCCAGCTACAATCCGCGTTAAGTCTAATATTCTTATGCCGCAGAGTGGATGTAAATCCGTGACGTTTAACGCATTGGTACCCGTAGCAAAAGTTTTGGCTCTCAATCTTAATAATGCAAACGATGATTTCCCATATAACTCGCGGCTAATTAATGTTCTTATATGCATTATTATCCAAGAGGTTAAATAGCAGCTGTTCTATATCTCACATATCCAAATAGTTTGCTTAAAAAAAAAAAATTCTATTTTGTTTTTCTTCGGTTTTGATAAACTGAACTGTCTCCGTCATGAACTACGAAGTGGAAAATTTCCAACAATACTGAATGGTTTTCGTTGAGACGGCGAGAGTATGCATATTGTCACTGGAAGTAATTCTCTTGCTATTTATAAATAATTGAGAGAACTAACTTTGCAGTACAACGAGTCTCAGACATGTCTCTTAAAAATAACTGTTAATGATTTCTAATCTGCATGATTTGTTTAAATACTTCAACATGGCACGGTGAAGACATATAGGGTACAGGTGAACGTGACCGGTACGGCGACGAAGACACTGTACTCATTTTAGTTGTATGTGATCGACGACCAAACCAGATCTTTTTAATCGGCATTAGCTTCAGCGTTACGAAGCCATTGCAATAAATACTCCGCACTTTTCTTGGGCAAACCATCTTGCGATAATTCCATAGATTAGCTTATGCACGACGATCTGCAGCACCATTAAATCGACGAAATGGTGCATATTCCTTTCTTCAGTGCCTGCCTTCGTAAATCGTTGGGCGCTACGTACGTGCATTCGCTTCACAGCTTGTGCAAGTTCATTAATTAAAATGCACGCATAAACTGAGGCCAAAGGCTTTGCAGTACTTGGTAGCAGTCTTTGATCGATCGTTATTTAATCTCTACCCGATAGAGAATTAAACGGGAAAGGAAGGCTGCTTACACAAAAGAGCAATGCAAGGCTTTTAAGGTCTCTACCTAAGTAAAAAGATTAATTTTAGGAGGAATTTTTCTTGAAGTGAACTTAAATTTTCGCAACAATTCAGCCCTGTCCGTCTGCCCGGGAATTACAATAATATTAGGTTTTTTAAAAATTAGCGCTTAATTATAATTAAGGGCAATAATATGATTTATTGGGAAATAATTTTTTTAATAATTAATTTGAAGTATTCCAATCTACGCTTCCACCACTTATAGTACAGGGATGTATTAAGTCCGTGCGAATGGGCGTAACAGTTAAAAAAAAGTAAGGATTTTAGACGCCTCTTTCATTATATCGACATCCGTTTCATATGTATATTTTGAATTGACTTAAGTTTGTCTCTCCGCCTCTCCCTCTGATGCGCCTAGCGTATCAGTGTGTTTACGCAATAGGTTACAATGTTCGATATATTTTGACGAAACTTGACACGTGGGCTGAATTTTTTGATCCTCCTCATCACATGACTACAAAAAATAATTCTTTATATGGGAAACAGCTTCAATTCTGTTTATACCCATCTCTATGGTAAAAAGATCCGATTTTTAATATTTGCAATAAAAATTGGTCTATGATAATAAATTGGCATTTCAATAAGCCGCAGTATCTGATCCCATATATGTGGCCCAATGAAAAGAATGCTTCTAAATGAAACGAAATATAATTTTTTGTATTTTATCACGAAAATAAATGAGGAATTGTTATTAGGCGAAGTGGTGAAAGATATTTACCGGCAGTCTTGCCCGACCATAAAGTTTTTACCTGTTTTACGTAAATAAGTTCTCTTTTTCTCAATTAAAGTGCGCTCTTTAAAAGAATTGCATTTCCCTTAAGTCATATATTAAATAAACAAATAAATCTCTTGTAAGCATCGTATAGGAGCAAAGACAAGTAAATAACGAGATGGTTCAAGATTTTGTTCAGAATTCTATTTAGGAAATTATTACGAAACTTGTGCGTGTCTGTTATCAATAATAGTGGGTAAAGACAGTGAATAGTTTACTGGTATAGACACACAGATACACCAAACGTCCGCAATAATCGCCTAGTTTGAATTTTGTTGGACCCTCTTCTCATTTAGTTGTCTCTGAATCCGAGCATCTAAACCACGTAAAAATAAGACTCATTTAAATCTCTTTGAGCAAATTAAGTTAAAAAGAAGTTAGAGGCAGAAACGAGAATGTTGTGTTTGCTAGGTGTTTACAGTGAGTGAGTGAAGACCCAAATCTTGATGGAGGAAAAAACTTTATATTATCTTTATGTTTATCAAGGTTAATTCTGTGGCAAAAATTACAAATAATTACAGTTTTTTTTTTCTTTTTAATGAACCATAAATATGTAATCAGTTAAGTTAAATATGCAAATAGTTGACCGCGATGTGCTTGAAACGTTCTTATGAGAACGGGATCTAATTGCAGAAAAGGCTTCATGAAAAATTTTACCATGTTTTTAATATTATCTCTCTTGATTTTATCTACGGGTGCGACAATTAGTTGCATTGTCGAAAAGCGCTCGGCACGTGGAGATTGTCTGGCTTTGGAAATATGTGAGGGAAAAAGAGATTTCAAATTTTACACTGCCTCGTAAGTAATCCTTCCGGAGTATGATTGCAACATGAAATTATGTTGTAATGAAATGAATTGAAATAAGTAAATTACAACACAGGAAATAAGTAAATTACGTTATAAGATGGATCGATGAATAATGCCGCACATACAGTATTTTTCAGTCACGTACCGTATTTCGTGCTATATTTCACCTAATTTTCCACAATAATTCACATCTTCCCACACCTTTTCTGCAAACTTCTACTTTATTCGCTACGCCAGTCAGACTACATTTACTGCAAAATTACCTTCTTTTCTAGTACACGTTCGTCCTGGAGCGGAAATTACTTTTCATATCATTTCATATTTTGACTGTAATTCGTAAATTTCGTGCAATTTTTCTACGTATGAAACTAAAAAATGGTCCGTTCCATTAATATGAAACTTATTGTACCAATAACTTACAAATAAGTCAGTCCATTTTCAACCATTTATTAAGTTTGGTCATTAAATTATAGATTCTTTTTAAAAATACGTAGCAAACGATAATATAGTAATAGTTGCAATTGAAATATTAAATCTGTTATCGGCTATAAATAAAAGAAAAAATAATGAAGAAAAGAAATTTAATATCGGAAGTCCACGCTGCCACAGATGTACTAACTCCTGTGTCGTTTCCTTTACATTCCTTAGTTTCAATAACTGCGGGAAAACTTCTATTGTTTCCATTTATCACGCGGATAATTGATTGTTATTGAAGTTGTTTAATATCTCCTGGAAATTCTTTTTAAAAAGTTTGCATATATATATTATCTCAAATTGGAATCGCGAAATATGCTCAGGAGATAGTATTATCTTTCAACATAGTCTTTTCTACGTAGATAATTGAGGTCTTAAAGTCGACAATAGACGTATCATTTCAGTCTCAAAGCAAAAAGCTCCTATGCCGTGCGATAGACAAAGAGTGTAAAAACAAATTCGAATTTAGTTCGCAGGTACCAATCCTCTAAACAGAGGTCTGTTAAGATCTTCATCGAACTTTGTTGAGTAGTGATAGAATTAAGATACTTGAGAGGGTAGTGCTATGGTCGGAAAACCTATCAAATTGGAGACTCCAAGGTCAAACGGACTATAGGGTCAAATTTAGGTCTTTTTCCATAGGCATTTTTTGCTAACATACCAAACTTAAAAAAATTGTTAAAAATATGACTCGAAAGAAAACTTTGAATCTCTTCGAAAGGTATTTTTATGTACTTTCACGTCATGTAGGTGAATACAGGCGCCATTTTCTAATTTGGCCGATGTTAATTAATTAATAATTAGTTAATTTATGTTAAAATAGTAAACGTCATTTTGAACGTTTTGTTCCGGTATAAGAAATTGTACGACCAGTCGATCGTCGGGTTTGGGATTGGGGGGGTATTGGCTTTGGTTTTTTTTTTACTAATAGGCAGCTCTTGAATTTGACAATTTGCTAATCTAGGCAATAAATTATTGCACTGAGGATGTCCACCCTCATTTAATATTGATAACAGAACGCGTTTTCGAATTTTCATTCGTATTCCTTTCGCCGTTGGATTTGCTTTCAGCTAAAACAATTGATAAATATCGCTAGTATCTATTGCTCGGGATCGTGCGCTTTTAAAAATTTCATTTTACATATTTTTAATTAATTCATTTTATACATATTCATATTCTTTATTACTCGTCGCCACTTGTGTATATGCTTCCTCATTTCATATTTTGAACTTTGCAACGACGATTTATGGCTGGAAGTACCTAAAAGCAAAAAACTAATAATAATGGTAATAATAAAAATAAAATTTTAAATTTCATATACTTTCAGTATATTCCTACTTTATGTAATAAATTTGCCTCTATTTCTGTATTCGGAAGAATTGGCGCAGCCTTATATATAGCGTAGCGTAACGTAAGCTATACAATTTGAATATTTAATAGAATGTTCAACGATTGATTTAATTTACTATAACCGGCTTCTATGCTTCATCGACGTTTCCCACGTCTCCAATAATGGCTTCATAGAGTGAACTGTTTGATTTATTTTTTCAGCAATTTTTCTACTGCAAATCACTTAAAGCAAGCATAGGGTGTACAGAATATAGTCTCTGTACGTTTTTTGCTCCATATTTATTTCGATTCAGCAGGCCAGGTATTTTCTGTCTCACAGCCAATTGATCTGACAGGCATGCCCGGCGGTTATGATTTCGACGATGATCACTTAAAAGAATGCGTCTTTTGCATTTTTGAAAATTTAAATACAAAGTCTTGTTGTTGTGATTGTGTAAATCAGCCATACTAAACGACGCGCTAGCTTGATTTCATTCGTTTGGAAATGATGTAAATATTATCGGAAAGCTTAACGAACACGGCAGACATCATCTCATTAGCTTTCTTATTGCTAGTCCGCTAGCAAATATCCTAAGCATATTTGTCGTGACGTAAATCATTTGTGCACTTGTAGTTAAATGATAGCAGTTTAAAACCATTTTTGTACGTTTGTTCGTAGTCCTGGAGGTAAACAACTGCCTATGTTACCACGACGAAGCTTAGAAGCAGCAAGCGGTTTTCCTACAGTATTTAACACAGATGTAACGTTCATTAACATGATTTTCCAATGTTCCTTTTTTTTTGTTTTATTCTCTTGCATAAGCATCGAACACATTCTAGGTGTTTTCCTGTACCAAATTTTTACCTATTTCTCAGATGTGCTCGGTGAGTTCGCGTAAAGAACGAAATTTTGTTAACACCGATATATTTCTGCTGTCGGTAGTGTGATCGATATGTG